ACCATGCTGCAGAAGAAGAGGGAGATGGAGGCCAGGCTGCTCTGGGCCAACAAACCCGACAAGCTGCAGCAGGCCAAAGAGGAGATCTCGGAGGTAGGGGGTGAGGAGTTGCCGGGGTCTCTGCTCAGCTCCTTCCCTCTGTGCTCTGCCGCTGAGCAGTGAGAAGGGGACCCCTTGAGCTGAAGGGACAGGTATCTGTTGCCAAGCTTGCATCAAGCCTTGAGCAAGCCCCGCAGGAAGCACAGAAGCTGCAGGAGGGGCTGCTCGCGGTCCCACCTCCGTGGCTTCCTTGGTGAGCTTGCAGCAAGCAGGGGATGCAGCTTGCCGTGGTGGTGAGGACCAGAAATGCCGGGCTTTGCTCTGGTAGCACCTCTCGTGCAAACAGTCGTGGCTACAAAACCGCTTGCGGAAGGGAGCGAGAGCTTCTTCACCTCCCCTCCCCTGGAAACAGCGCGCTTCCTCTCTCTGCAGTGGGAGTCTCGTGTGACACAGTACGAAAGGGACTTTGAACGGATTTCTGCTGTCATCCGCAAGGAAGTGATACGGTTTGAGGTACGTTTGGCCCAGCCCTCGGCGTGCAACCTTCCAGCTGGTTGGCCTTGATGTGCCTTGGCTGGGAACACCAGCCTGGGCTAGCCAAGGATCACCTTGGTTCCTGACCCCGCTCCCAGTACAGCGGTTGGCAATATTTGTAAATCCGGACACGTGCGAGCTGGGGCATCCCTGCCGTGGTCAGAGCTGATGTCTTTTGGCTAAGAGGGGGCTTCTACGCAGAGAAGCCTATCCATTAAAATGAGGGTGGGTGGGCAAAGATCCTCTGAGCTGTCAGGCTGTGGCCAGAGGTGAGCTTCATCCTCGGCATCTCATGCTGGTTGCTTCATGTGGGCAGCTGAGATCGTCCAACGGAGCCCCAGGAGGAACAGGAAAATCCTGGTGGTTTGTCCTCCCCTGCAAAAGCCCGGAGGGTTTTGGTGGTTCGTTCAGCCTTGTGCTCACTCCTGCACCCATCTCTTGCAGAAAGAGAAATCCAAGGACTTCAGAAACCATGTCACTAAATACCTTGAGACGTTATTAAACTCTCAGCAGCAGGTGAGTAGCCACAGCCCCTGCCATGGTTTTACCTCTCGAAGCTCAGCAGTGCGAGTTCGCACCCCGCTCAAGTGTGAACCCCCACCGTGGGTGCATCCTGCTCCCCACGTGTGGGGGCTGGAACAGGACAAAATATAAGCATTGCATTCCCCTTGATGCCTTTTTTTTTGGGGGGGGGGGCTGTACCCTGTGGAGGGGCTTCTGCCCCCTCAGAATGCTTCTCAACTTGCTCTGGGCTTGGACTGCGCTGGCAAAGCACCCGCGGGCTCCTAACCCTCTCCCTTTCTCCTCTCTGCAGCTGGTGAAGTACTGGGAAGCGGTCCTACCCGAAGCCAAGGCCATTTCTTAGTGGGACCGAGCAAACGAGCCTGTCTGAACTTTGCCTTTTTTTTTTTTATACACTGTACCTCTTCCTCTTTTACATGTGAACGAACCCTAGTCAAACACTCTGAGCTGGTAGAGGTTTAACCCCCAGACAAGCAGCTTGCAAGCCAGTAACTCTTCTAACTGTATATTTTTCATTTAGTGACATATATTTTCTTACTGAAGAGAAACTAGTTTCCTGCTTTAAGACCAGACCTGCAGCAGGGGGTTAACGATATATGTAAAATGTATATTTTTCAGGCTGGGTTTTAGGGCTCTAATGACTATCTTACTCCTGCAGTGCCATTAAAATTCTGTAATAAAACTTGTATCAGGGCAAACAGGCTCTGTCTGTTCGTGGGCTGGGCTGGGGAGGCGTAACGGCTGCATCCTGTGGATGCTGAGGGAGGTGACGGAGCCTCCTGCTGCCTTGTCACTGGGCCGCGGGTGACCTTGGGCACTGCCCCAGCCACCTGTCCTTGCTCTTGATTAAGCTTTGGCTTTCTGCCTTTCTCTGAGCATGAGCCTGGGGCCGCTGTTTTTAGGATCTGAGCTCAGCGGGGCTGTGTAATGGCCCTGCTCTGGGTGGTTTGGGGGGGGACCTGCCCCCCAAGAAGACAGCGTGGAGCCTTTCTCTTTCCTTTCTCCCATGGCCAAGGGGCAGCTCTCGCTCCTTCAAGCCCTCCCAGGCCCCCAGCGGTGGATTTCATCAAAACTGATACCCCTTCTTCTGCCTCAAAAAAAGGAAAAGGCAGCTTGTGCTGACTTCCCACTTTCCTTTCCCCTTGTCCCTGTCGAGCGGGATCCCTGTGGTACCCCCAGGCTCAAAAACACCCCCAAGCGTGCTGCAGTCGGAGCTTGGGGCTGCAAGTCCCTTCCTTGGGGTGCTCTTGGGCTGGCTTTGGGGTCCCCTGTGTGGCCCCCGTGGGTGCCCAGGGGCCGTGGCTGACCCCGGTCCCGGAGCCCTTCCCCGGAGCCTGCGGGAGGTTACGGCGGCGCAAAGCCCCGCGGCCGCCCCCGCTC